GAAGACATTAACAATGATGAAAACTTTCAGTATAAAATATCAACAATAAGCCCAAAAATTCAACATTATTTTTCAAAAACTTAACAGGACCATAACAGCAGATGAAGCCCAATGAACTTATTTTACAGGTTCAACATGCATATACTCGATTGGAAAAAATAATAGGAACTCAAGAAATTTTAATCAACAGTATGACAAAATAAGGAATAATCAGATGAAAAATTCAGAAAGTACTAAAAAAAGATATGCCAAGTATTGTCAAAATATGTAAATCACAAATGTAAATACTGTAAATAAAAAAGACAATCAAAAAAGGACTATAAAGACCCATCTATCAACCTTAATATTTTGGATTAAACCTGCTGACACATAAAGACAAGAAGAAAATGACAAAAAAAGAATGCGGCAGACAAAGTGGAAGAAAGTAGCCAAAAGTTATTTTGTCTTTATAATCATTTCTTTATCTTTTATAATTAGTCAAAAATAAATTTTTTCTTTTGTAATCATTAGGGTTAGTTTTTATCATCAATTAACTTGACTCATATAACTAAGGTTGTTATACCAACTCTATATAAAGCCTTGTAAATTTCATTAGTAATCAATTTATAATCGATCTCTTTAATTCTCTCTTATAACTGAGTTTAGAATTCTCTGATCTCTCACTCGATAAAATTATCTTTTTATTCTACCTTTGCAAGTATTGAAGATTAATCCAAATATGGCTGAGTAATTTCTTTTTAAAGATTAAGAAGGGATTATTATCTAAAACTTAATTCTTTGTTATGATTTCGTAATGACTCTATAAGGGATTATTGATTATATATTACTATAGCTACGTCGCCAATAAAAAACAAACGAAGATTATGCTGTGATAGTCTGAAAGGAGAAAGTTGAGTGGATTAAGAGATTTTTGATTTGATAATTCTCCATATAAAAGATGACAAAGACAATTTCATAATCCGAATCATTCATGGTCAAACCCTGTGGTAGCATCTATTTCAGTTATGGTATCAGAGTATGGGTTATAATAATGATTAAGTAGAAGATAATATTAACTTCGTAATCTCGAATGTTTACATTTGTTAAATTCTTTTATGCTTTCTATCATTATCATCAATTATTTGTGAATTTTGAAATAGATAAAACTAGATTACAACAAGTATAGGTGAAATAATTAGACTAGAAACAATAGAATTTCTAAGAAACCTGAAGAACAAAGAAATCATTTAAAATATTGTTATTGTTTATATCTTGGTTTTGCAATAATAGGAGCTTTAAATAATTTTCCATAATAAATAGAATAAAAACTACTAAATCAAAAATATATGAAATAGAATCTACTAAACTTCCAGAAAGTTCTTGTTTACCAGTAGAAGAACCCTCATGTATTTTTGTACCTTTTATATTAGAAGGAGATGGAGATAGTACTTTTAATCAAGTAAATTGGACTAATATGTATTTAATGAAACAATTAGAATGTTATATAAATAAAAATATAAGTGACTTAGAACATTTGTTTAATCAAGAAGAAATAATAAAAATGTTACTTGAAGAAGCACAAACAATAATAGAAAAAAAAATCCTAAAGAAAAAATGATAAGATCAAGCGAATTAGCAAAACCTTTAAAACAAAATATATGAAATGAAAAAAGATTGTCATGAACAAATTAGAGAATTAAAATATGATACAGAATATCTTAAAAATCAAGTAAGTTTGATAAAACATAATACTTATAGAATAATGAATGCATTAGGAATAAATCCAAAAACTCAAATAGTAGATGAATGTTCACAAGTGAACATCATAAGAATAGTTGAAGAATTATTATCTGAAGAAGAAAAAAACAAGATATGTATGAAAACATAAAACAAACAAGGATAGCAATAGAAAAAACTACAAAAAGGACAAGAAGATATAAATGAAAATATATGGACAATATATGATCAAATTGAAAAATTAGAATTAAAAATTTATGATAATAAAAATGGAAGAAATTATGCAAAAAATAAACAAATAGAAAGAAAACAAGAAATAGAATTTACAGAAGAACAAGAAATAGATTTTGAAGAAAGTAATAGAATTGCAGAGATTTTGTTAAGAAATTATAATTATAGACCCACTAGAAAGAAGGATAAAAATCAGAATCAACAAAAAAAAATATAAATATGGCTAAAACATTAGAAGATGAAGAAACTAGTAACATGGATCTACAAGAATTAGAAGAATTAATTAATAATTAATGGAAATTGATGAAAAAAAAATTAAAAGAACTGAAAAAAGATTACAGTCATTTATTAAATAAAAATCATGATGAAGCAATTATAAATATGCAAAATTCACAATTACAACCTTATGATCCTTCTTTAGATCCTTCTTTTAATCCCCCAAATTTAGGAAGTGAAGCATATAATAATATGAATGTAGGATCAAGTAGAGTAACAGAAGAAAAAAAAAGATGAAAGAATGATGGAACCAGATGAAAGAGAAGTAAAGTATCAAACAAATTTTAATAAATCCTATAAAGAAAATAATTATAATATACCCTTTGAAGCTACTTTTAATATACCCAAAAATAATGAATTTATACCTACACTATTAGCACAATATAAAAATAGACAAATATTAAATGCGGGAATATGATTAAATTTAGACTGTAGTTTAAATAATGATAAAATATTAGAAGAATAGGCAAAAGCAACTTTAATATCTCCAATAGGAAAAAATATAGATTCACAAACAATATCTATATTAATTGAATCAATATTTTTAGGAAATGTACAAAACTAGTGAAAAAGTAAATCACAAGAATTTAGAGAAAGATTAAGAAAACCAAATAGAACCAATACTAATAAAAGAGAATATCATTCTACACACATATATATATATATATATATATATCATGAGGCATAACCTATACTAAATACATCCACATCTTTTGGGGACAAAAATACTTGATTTCTAGTTCAGATGTTTTATAATCACGATGTTATTCAAAGAGGGATTTGGAGGGTGCGGGGACTAAATGATATCAATATACAAATAAAAATATAAACCTGACAGTCACATTTTATTTAAAGTTTAGGGTTTAGCACTGATTTTTCCCAACAATATTTTGCTACCTCCCCATCCAAGGCAGTCATGAATCAATCTCAGGTCAAGAAAAGACAGTCATGAATTAATCGAAAGAAGGAGAAAGGGGGGAAAAAATCATGCGCCGATCAAGCATATACAGAACCAGTAAAATTTCTCTGGTTAGAGTCAGAGAAGACTCCAAATGCCAGAGAAAAATGAGTAAGCAAAAAACTCCAGGAATGGCCATATCTACCACAAAATTAGCATACAATCAGACTGCTCTAAGCTTCAATATGAAGTTTTAGCACTCACTCCCTCTAGACCACAATATTTCTCATTGTTAACTAATTCACAGTTTATGAAAAATACTAGTTGAAACTTTATTTTCCTAAAAATGTCTACATCTTTCCATTTATACCCTTGAGTTTTCCTAGTAACATGCACAGCATTTAAATATGGAACATTTAAAGACACTGAATTTATTAAAAAAAAAAAAAAAAGCAATGGTCTAGAAAACGACTTATATTGTGGTCCAAAGGAAGAATCTTACAAAGATAAGTAAACTAAACAAAAGAAAAGGCTGCTTAAGCATATACAGAATTATCACTGGAAAAACCCATGCGTGTGTGCTCGCTTTGGTGTTTCCTCATGTTAATCAACTTACTACCAATCATGATTTACTATATCACCTGCATAGAAAATGCAGTGGAGCTAATATCATGACATAATCGGGTCTAGGTCCCGCAGATTTGTTGTTAAACAAAGCAATGAAATTATATATCAGCAGAACATGCGAATTCTTCATGGCAATGCAAGCCAACAAATTTGGAAGACCAAATGCCTCTCAAATTTTTAGATTTCCTTCTCATATTAAGCCTCAAGGCATAAGTAATTCAAAATCTTTGAAACTACATTTGGATACAAGTTAAAGTGGCAAACTTTGTATCACCAGTTTCTCTAATGTGACTGATAGATCAATCCTATCACATTCCAATGGCTTAAACCAATTCTGCAATGTGTGGAAGTTTAGCAATCAAAAGGCCTAATCTATATTCATCCAAGAAGGGATTATTTATCTTAGGGAGCATTTACAACCACAGAAATAGGATTATCTACAAAGATCAATATCTGTTGGTCATTAATGTTTTAAAGCATTACCAAATGTGATAGTAAAAGATAGTTTACTCCACAAAGGAATGCATATAATAGCCCATAGTGGGATGATGGAAAAACAATTTCAAGCAAAGAGGGACTCAATTGCTGCCAATTGTCATCCAAGTTGCTCCATGAAAATCCACCTATGGCCAGAGTCATACTTGAAAGGGACTTCAGCTATCAATCACCCTTCACCATCAAAGCCATGAATCTAAATACTATGATGGATAAGATAATCGCTTTCAATGCCAAATTCTAAGACAGCAAAAAGAAAAATTATATAATACAACCTCAAATGGAACAAAACACACTTCTTTATTCTTTTTAATAAAAGGACTGGTCTAAAAGTAGGAGCATTCCAAGGAAATATGACAGGTGATATCACAAAAACTGAGAGTTGGTGTGAGAAGAAAGAGAACTCTATAAGAAACCAGATAGCAATAAAACACATCACTTTTGCCATCCCTAAAATGTACACAAAATGTAATTCTCTTAGGCCTTATGGTTTTTTTTTTTTTTTTCCTTCATGAATTAGAGGGACAAGTACTAATGGCTAGAGCTCACAAGCGAGATCAAACCCTTGACCTCCCACTTAAAAGGAAGAATGCATGTGACTAGGCTACAAAGCCATCGTCTAGGTCTTATGATTTAGAAAATAAACTCCCATACTTTTTATGTTAAAGGAAAAAAATATAAAGGTCACTTATGTTTACAAGGATAGACAACCAAAAGAAGTTAAGAATAAAAGGAAGCATACAGGTCACTTCTGTCATAGATAGAAATTGTGACAAGATATACCCTTGCCAATCTTTAAAAAATGACCCTTTTATATTTTTGTCCTAGGTCTTGAAAAGTATTTGCTAAGGTGAGCCCACAGTAGACTCAATTGATAAGTAATTCTCAAGCAAATCTAGCTAATACAAATAGGAAATGATTCTATCCATGGAGCTCTTACTTTTAAAATCCTAGCACCAACTTCCATTCAGAAAAAAGCAGAGAAGTTTAGTAGACCATAACATAAAAGTAATCTACTAGATACAAACTGATTCAAGTAATCAAAATTGTGAAATTAAACATTCCCTCACAATTCTTAATTACTGAATCAAATTCCTGTTTTTCGATCATGGTGATCAACCAGGAAAATCCACTATTGGCAGCCACACACCAGCAGTGAAAAGTCACAAAGAGACTATTATACCATCCCAAGTCCCAACAGTTCAGTGAGAAGCAAATCCTTGAACTATTGAGGATAGTGAGGTTGGTAATATTGTTGAAGACCATAACCACTATAAGCAGTGGTTCTGTCATAATAACCAGACTGCAAATTTGGCTCTGAATATAGATGTGAACCACCTGGAGTTGGATTGCCACTGGACCCTATTGGGACACCAGAAAAATCATAAGGCCCAACTGAAGGACCTGTATAGGGAGAAATGGTGGAGGTTTGACCCACCATTCCATATGGCACAGCTTGTGAGCTCATGTATGAACCCAGCTGTTCTGGCAACAAACCTGTAGGCTGTATCAGAGGCTGTTGGTACTGATGCAATGCTGAATTGGCAACACTAACAATCTTCTGCACAGCTGAAGGGCCAACTTGGACTGATGTTCGAGGATGCTGGTTTCCAATATGTTTCTGCTGCTTCTGCTTCTTTTTCTTCTGCTGCTGTGGTTGCTGTTGAGGTTGAGACTGAGGATGAAGCTTTACAGATGGTGGTGCAGCACGTTTCCTATCTGTCTTCTTCTTCTTTAGTTGCACTATTTGCTGCTCCAGGATTGCTGGTGGATATTGAGATTCAAGCTTATAGCTCTCAATAACCTTTATTACTGATTTCAGTGCATGGATTTCTCTTGCTGTGACCTCATTCTGCAAAAAAACCTCAATAAATATAGGAATCACTAACTCAGTAACACCCAGATTGTGACATCAATCAGGGGATATACATACCAGTGACTTCCCTTCCTGGCGAAGTCTTTTAGCAAGTTTATTAGCCTCATCAACACAAGCTTTCAAGATGGGAACTGGTGGGATCTTATCGGCAAGATTAAACTCAAAGACATACTTGACAGCCAAAACATGTTTGCCCTTATCAACAAGTTTTTGAACAACATCTGCAAAAATCTAACAATAATTGCCTTTCCAATAAAAGTAAGGAAAAATGACACAAGTAACTATAACAAAACTTTTTAACTATATATCATGCTTGTAAATGGGAAATTTCGAAGACAAAATTATAATCGATCATGACAGAACTTTTCAAGGTCATACATAATAGCATCTTTAGATGATACAGTGCTAACCAACGTTATCATTGCCTCCAAAAGCCCCCACCCCTCTTCCTCCTTTTCATTATTTTTCTAACCCACCCGTTGCATGCTTAAATCCCATATACCAACCAAATCAGTGCAATATGCAGAAAACTAAAATTCCAACGTCAGCATACACACCCCTAAACCAACGCTCCTGCGTATTAATATTCAAATAATTTAAATAAAATCTAGATTATTATCCTTTTTTCTCCAATAGTTCAACTTCAAATCATCTTACCAGGAATTTTCTCTGTCAAACCAATGATTCGGCATAGCTGGGGAACCTCATCGTTGTTAGCAGCCATAGCAGTAAAATCAACAAGTTCATCCATGCTGACTTCAGAAAACAAACCATATGTCACCATAAAATACAAAAAGCCCAATGCCTCTAACGTCTTTGCGCCATCAGTTCTCAAACTTGCTTTCCACTCTGCCGCCATCGTCTTGGCTCGTTCTCTCACTTTGAACCCTATATTTGGAGATAAAACCCTTAGCTGTTCCAACAAGAGGATGCAAGCCCTCCTAAGCTTACGTTGTTCCACGTCCCCGGGGTCATTTACCCCATAAAACCCATCAAGAGAATCCAGAACCATCGCCGCTGGGTCTGGAGCAAAACGTAACGCCCCGGGAAGCTCCGCCTGAATGGCAGCCTTCTCCTTCGCGTGAAGATTAACGTACTGCCTCAATCCCTTGCCATCCATCTTCTCGCACAGAGTACTCAACTCGTATCTAGGCATCACCGAGCTCGATACAACATAGTTTTTGGGCACAACACCTGCTCCATTTTGATCCGGTTGGTTCGACGATGAAGACGGATCGCCAGGGAGCTTTTGATTTTGACCTGACGGATTTGAAGAAGACGACGACGGATCTTTAGGGTTCTGGGTGGGGTCATTTGGATTATGGGCTGGTGTGGGAACGAGTGAAGTTGAGGAACTAGGGTGGCCACCCTGGGATTCGAGGGACTCAAGGAGTTTAAAACGTTGATTGAGCGAATTCTGGATAGAAGTGAAGTGAGAATCGATTTCAGACCAGGATAGAGAGAAAGAAGAGAGGCTCTGCGAGTGAGCATGGAGATCATCGTAGGCCTTCTTGAGGTTGTCCTTCTTTGTGTCGATAAGTTTGATAGCGGCGGAGATTGTCTTCAACGTGGTGGCCATTGTTTCGGGGTTACACAAGTTGGGATGATTGATTGAAGCTTGAGATTGATTTCAGAACATGGGAATGTCACATTGATCGGAGGCCAAACTGATAACCCTAAAGAGGAAAAACCTGAGAGTGACTTGGATTGGTTAACAACGAAGGAGGAGGAGGAGAAAGAGGAGGAAGCAGCCGCGGGCGCATGAGCTTGTATTGCCGAGATGCCGAGAATTTCCGGGATGGGATGTTCAAAACGCATTTATGTACATCATCGTCCACAGGAGGCTGTGGCCTTTCTGGGGAATTGAGAAGTTTTTCTTCTGATAAATTGAAAATAATTATCCTTCAATTCTTCTCAATTTTGTAAATAAAAAAAATTTCAATAAAAAACCCTTAATCAAACATAATAAAAAAAATTTTTAAATTTTTAAAATTCAACTGAAGAATTTGAATAAATTTTCATTTAAATTTATAATAAAAATAATAAAATTGTCCTCTTTAAATAAACAACATAAATAACTTATTCATTCTCATACTATATGTTATTTATTTACTTACGAAATGTTATTTATTTTCATACTTCACTTATTTATAGTTATACTTTTACTTGATTTCATTCCAGGGCATAAACAAGTAAAATATGTAAAATAATAATATTTCGAAAGTAAATGAACAACATACAGTATAGAGATGAACAAGTCGTCTTATCATAAAACTAACATTTAGAATGAAATCAAGTGAAACTAGTGTTATAAACACATAAAGTAAGGAAACAAATAACATTTTACAAGTAAATAAATAATATACAGTATAGGATGAATAAATCATTTATATTGTTCATTTAAATGAGGGCAATTTTGTCATATATGTCACAAATTCAAACAAAAATCCATAGGGTCATTCAATAAAATTTAAAAAATGCAGGGATTCTCTTTTTCATTATGTTTAGTCAAACTTCCCTCACTGAAATTTTTCCATGTAAATACTTCTGAGTTCACATTCCGTGCTCATAAGCACGACGTGCTCATCACTCATAAAGTGATCTCAGCCCTTCATTTTCTCCCAAAATGATCTCTGCCCTTAACTTTAAATTAAATTTTAAATATTTTAAATATTATATTTGTGAAAATAAAAATTGTAAAAAATTATTATTAAAGTTTGAGTGTCTAAAAATATACTTATATAGTCAATTTATAAAAATTATAAAAAATTAATATTAAATTAAAGCATTCAGATTATATCTAGACTATCTAAAATATGTCTGAACAATTAATTTATAAAAGATACAAAAAAATTTATATTAAATTGGATCATCCAGATTAAATATAAACTAATAAGATTGATTACCAACAGATTTATTAAAAATTTAATCTTTTTTATGCATTTTTATTTTGATTAATATAAAATAAAAATAAAATTTAAAATTTGGATTGCCCAAATCCTGTCAAGAGTGATGTGTATAATAGTGCTCATTATGTAATGAGCACCGAGAATAGTCCAAATTTAATATTAAAAATTTTTATAATTTTTATTTTCACAAATATAATATTTAAAATATTTAAAAATTAATTTAAAATTAAGGGTAGAGATCATTTTGGGAGAAAATGAAGGGCTGGGATCACCTTGTGGGTGATGAGAATGGAATGCGAATCTAATACTTTCTCCATTTAAAAATATAAGATATTTTTAAAAGGTTAAATATTTAAAAATATAAGACCTTTTTAGTATTTTAATATGCAATCATTATTTTTTTCTAAAAGTACCTCTATTGAATAATTATTTATATTTATTTTAAAGTAAAATATCCTATTACATAGGAGTAAATATTAAAAGATAATATTAATTTGAAAATAAGTAACTATTTTATTAGGATAAAATTAGATTAAAAATGCCTTACATTTTTAACGGAGGGAACAACAATTTAATCTCTTAAAATATTATAATTTCATTGAAATTATTAAGGACATATGTCTTAAGAAATTTTAAAGTAGAAAAATCATGTTACCTTTATTAAAAAATAACAAATCCCAATCATAATTTTTTCTTAAAAAATAACAATTTATGTTGTGTAAATTATAAAAATTAAATAAGAAATTATAATTTATTAAGTGTAATTTTTGTTGAAAATTTTTTCAAAATAATAGGCTCTAATTATAATTTTTTGAAAAAAATGATAATTTTTATTATGTAAATCGTAAGAATTGAATAAGAAATTATAACTTATCAAAAGCAATTTTTATAAAAAAACTTCTCAAAATAATAAACCTCGATCACAATTTTTGTGTAAGAAATAATAAATTTTGTTTTATAAATTAAAAAACTTTAAACAAGACATCACAATTTTTATTATTAAAAAATAAATTTTTAAAATAATAAATTCTAATCACAACTTTTATTTAAAAAATAATAAATTTTATTTAAAAAATTATAAAAATTAAATAAAAAAATCATAACTTATCAATAAAAGTAAAATAATCTTTTTAATTTAAAATTTAATGACACAAAAGTCTCTAAAAATTTAAGTGAAATCATGACATTTTAAAAAATTAAATTATCATTCATAAAATTCAAGGAAAATTTACTATTATTTTTTATTAATCTTTTGTTGTTAATAAGTTTTTTTATTTTAAATTAAGTCCATATACTTTATGAGTTCTTATGATTTAATTCGTTAAATTTATTAATTTTTAAAAGTTAAAATTTCTATTTTTTTTCAAAATGAAATTGAAAGCTTTTGTATTTTTAAGAACTGCATAATTAATTATTATTGTTATAAATCAAAATTATTATCATTTTATTTTATTTTTTTAAATAACTTATATATGTTTATAATTTTCATACAAAATTTAATAATATAATTAAGTTATGAGATATAATTGATTTATAAAATTAAATTTAAATATAAATTAGAAATGAAATTAAAAGTTAGGTAAAATATGATTTCTTTTGAAGATATATCCAAACACTCTTATGTTACATGTCAAAATTAATTATAAAATTAAAATCATGATCTTTAAAAAATATCCAAACACTCATGTTATATGCTAAAATTAATTTTGGATTTTTTTAAGAAAATTATAATTTTAAGTTTATAATTTATTTTAACATGTCTTATATTTTTAAGAGAACTATGGCATGTTTGGTATAAAGGAATGAGAGAATGAGACTAGTATTTACATTAATTAATTCCAAGTTTTTTTATTTGACATGTGGGAATAATGATTTTAATTAACTCATGCGGGTGGGAATAGTCAATGCCACTGTCCCTTGGCATTGCAAAAAGAGTCTTGAGATTATTTTTTTAAGACCAAATTGCCTTTATCCCTACAATATTTGACAATCCGTCTCCGTTCTCTTCTTTCGATTATTCCAACTTCGACAATCAATTTCTTTCGTCTTCTTCTTTTGATTATTCCTCTCTGTTCAGTCTTTTGATTATGTGGGCTCAATTATTCCTGTTCCAACAATCCATTTCCTTCATCTTCATCTTTGAATTGGGGTCAGCGGCATTGGATGTAGTTCTAGAGTTGTCTCCTTCAATTTAGTAGCGGCGACATCTTCAAACATATCTATGAATTGCACCATTGCATTTGCTCTCTGGAAAGGCACATATGAAATTTTTTTTTAGTATGGCACTTTGCGTTCGAGTTCGGCTTCATTGCATTTGCTTTAATGAAACATAGATCCATGATTTTTTTACTCTCTGGAAAGGTGATGATGAAGGTTGCGTTAGGGGGGAGAGAGAGGGTGATGGCAAAGAAGAAGATGTTCAACGATGGAGCTTGCGGCAAGAGAGAGGGGATGATAATTGAGAAGAAGATGAGAGCAATGTTGTCTTTTAGCTACTTTTTTTTGTAATTTTTTTAATCCCATGACATAGTAAATATGATTTTAACACTTATTTGCACTCTCAATCCTACTCCCCATCCTTTAAAATTCAATATCTTGTTCCAAATAGGGCCTATGACTTTGAGTTCATAATTAATTTTGGTATGTAATAGAAGTGTTTGGATATATTGTTATAAAATTACGGTTTTAGATTTTAGGATAAGGATACACTTTTGCCCTTAAAGTATTATCAAATGAGCACCTAACATCATAAAATATTTAGCGTAACATTTTTTTCTTTTAAAGTAATTAAAATGTAGCATTTTCTACTTTGATATTGAATAATATGATATGAGAAAAGATAGTTTGACTATCCAATGAATATTTATAAGTATTCAACGTTAGAATGAAAAATGTTATGTTTTACTTGCATTAGGGGCTAAAATACTATATTAAATAGTTTATGATGTTGGGTGTTTTTTAAAGAATATTTCAAAGATAAAAATATATTTTTATCCTAGATTTTAAAATTGATTTTTAGAGAGTAGGCACAAATATTGGGCCCATTTCATTAAATCTAACGGTCAATTTTTACTTTTTTTTTATAATGGAGCAATTTTATGAAGGAAAAGGGGGGGGAGAGCTAATAGTAACCACAAACACTTGATCAACTAATAAGAATTATTTCAACTTAACTAGAAGTTTTAAGTTTGAGTATTGAGAATGAAGCAACCTAAATAACTAGGGGTACCTACCCTTGTAGTGCCTCAATTCAAATTAATCTAGGCTTTGTTAAGTTCTCATAACTCAAATAAGATAGGTCGAAAATATCAGATGCTCATAAAAAAAAAAAAACTAATGATCAACTGCAAACATGGATGAAAAGCCAGCAAATAAATAGGTAAAATATGGTTTGCAACAACTTTAAAGTGAAATGTGATTGTCGCAAACCTAGAACAAACTCATGATAGGAAGTGTTTGGTAAGGCAAGGAGCGGGAGGACAGACATAGGGTTAACAACCCAACACTGCTGTTGGATGAATAATAGAGTATAACGAATAGCTGCCAACATTAGTTAATTCTGAAAAATGCATTAGAATCATGAGTTCAAAAAAATATAATTTTTTTATCTTCTTCATGAAAATGTTTTTCATAGAAAGAAATTAATTAAGGGGGCAATGCTTACTTAAAAACTAGAATATAATTTTCTTTTATCTTAAAATTTGTGAATATTTTTAAATTTCGTCTTTTTTTGTTTTAGCCAACTATTTTATAATTTTGTCTTCAATGACTGTAATAATACCTAAAACTCTTTTTACAGTTTTTCTTAATGGTATTAAAAAAATAATTGATTAACTGAACAGGTGAGCCGTATATAAAGGCCCATTTGTTTCAGATTTTTCATGAAAAAATCCCTTACTTTTAATGTTTGTTTAAAC